GTTGAAGTCTTGGGGGAGCAGACTGCTAGACAGAGTGAAACGCTGGCCGGACTTCGGCCTACATTACAAAGAATTTTAGCTGATGTTAATGAGAGATTGACTTTTCGTGCTAGAACATATATTCGAGATGAGGTACTGTATTTACCTTACCATAAGATTTTTGGATAGTTTTCCTACAAGTATATTTGTCTCACTCCCTGGCTCTACATCTATATTAGTGGTCTTCTCATCTGCGTCTATGTAGAAATAATGAACTTTGTATGTTGTCACCACTAAAGACGAGTCACCTAAAATTTGTGTTCTAACTGTGATACTGAACGAATGTGTTAAGTGGAGATTTTTGCTACTTTCGGCTGTGTTACTGTGTTTAGTCTTAGACGACTTTGATTTCCTTGAGTTGGACTGTTCAAATCCCCCTTCTTACTTCTGCAGATTGCAAACTATATTCCAGCTGACGAAGATTTGGATTACCCTGCAAAGCTGAAGGAATCTCCTGAGACTGCATCTGAAACTAATTTCATGGTAGAATGAAATTCTCAAATTATTCTATGGTTGGGTAATCGTTAGTTGTATACTTATATTCTATGGTGCAGGATGGTGAAAACGCTGATGTATTTAAGACTTGGTATCCACCTCTGGAGAAGACCCTCTCTTGTCTATCTAAATTGTATCGTTGCCTGGAGCCTGCAGTCTTCACTGGATTAGCACAGGTACGACTGCTCTATAAGTAACTTTAATTCGTTACATTCGGTCAAAGAAGAGATAGCAATTCATGTATAGGCAATGATTTCTAACAAGCCATCTCTTCTGTTCCACAGGAAGCTGTAGAAGTTTGCTCTCTATCAATTCAAGTAAGCAAGCTAGAAAAGCAGATTTTCGTCGCCTTGATTTTTGTTCCCTTTTCAGTTTTCTTTTAATTTCAATGACGTTATCAATTTTAATTACACAAAGATGTACCATTTTCCTGCAAAGAATTTTTTTGTTCTTTCTGTTTAATTTTGATTACCAAGCTTTACATCTGCTCCACGGCTGTTATAGTTGAGATTTCCACATTACTTTGTCAAATATGCAACAGAAAGCGAGCAAGCTTATCATTAAGCGATCAACTACAATGGATGGCCAGCTTTTCCTTATCAAGCATCTCCTCATCTTGAGGGAACAGGTTATGGCTCATCTGTCTTTAGTTTGCTCCTTTTGCTATTAAGTCAATGATTGTATTTTAAACAATATTTATATCTGTTTTCAGATTGCGCCTTTTGACATCGAATTTTCAGTCACCCACAAAGAGCTTGATTTCTCTCATTTGCTGGTTAGTTCCTCAACATTCAAGTCTACTTTATATGATAGATCTAAACCTCTATTTTTCAGTTTCTTTCTGTTGCTGATGACTTTGCTAACTTGGTCTGATAAGTACCATTATTCATGTAATAAATGTGGTTAGGAACACTTGAGGAGGATACTTAGAGGCCAGACGTCACTATTTGACTGGTCTAGGTCAACTTCATTGGCAAGGACCCTGTCACCTCGAGTTTTGGAGAGCCAAATCGATGCGAAGAAGGTTTGTGATTTTTCTCTTCCATCCACTATTAATTGCAGATTTGCTTAATGTTTACATAAGTTTGTCACTCAGATGTTGATTTCATTTTACGATTTAACCATGAGCATCTTTCTGCAATACACCTTTCCAATATTGGTGAAAATTAAAAAATTAATTTCATTGTCTGTGTTATACCTCTGCCATATGGTAGTAGGCCCAAGAGATATGGTAATTTTTTAGCAGACATGTTGTACTTTAAAATCATTCTGTGCGAATCACCAAGAAACTTCTCAATCAGTAATGCTCTTGTAACCAATCTGTTTCCATCATGTACATTAAAGAAACGACAACAATGCCAATGGATCTCTAGATATCTCTATTCATGGCTGCCAGTTTTCATTACATTATTTACCTAGACAACTCTTCTATTATGCTGGAATCATTGCATTCCTTTATATGAATGGGAACAATGCGTGAACCTTTATCCTCGCAGGAACTGGAAAAATGTCTAAAGACAACTTGTGAGGAGTTCATCATGTCAGTCACCAAGTTAGTTGTGGATCCTATGCTTTCATTCGTGACTAAGGTGCGTTTCTCTTTTCCCTTTTTTTCAGGGAAACATGTTTTTCAGTTCTAGACGTCCTCTAAAAAATTAAGTCAGCTCTCAATTTTCAGAAATGTAAAATCTCCTTCTAGTTCCTTGTGTAGAAGACATGTCCATCTATGTAATACTATGCACCGGGGTAGCGAGCCGGACAATATTAGGAGATTGCCTAATAGTTTTGCACTGTTTCAACTTTTATGTAGGTCACAGCCATAAAAGTTTCTCTTTCCACTGGAACTCAGAATCAAAAAGTCGATTCTGTCATGGCTAAGCCACTGAAGGAACAAGCTTTTGCTACTCCAGATAAGGTGGCTGAACTCGTTCAAAAGGTATGAGATAAATAATATACTCTGAGTTATTTTTCTGTAAGCTATATCTCAGAAATATAGAGGCAGCTATTTCTTGTTCCCTATTAAGCTCTCAAACACCGTAAGAACTACAAATCCATGTTCAAGGGATTATTGGCATCTATATAACCCACAATGGCTTTTCGTATCTTTAAGCTTTATTAACGCAGAACCACGTCTCTCACGACACATTGGGAAAGGCTGATTTTGTATCGCATGTACTTTAACCAGGTATACGCTGCGATACAGCAAGAGTTGCTTCCGATCTTAGCAAAAATGAAGCTCTATCTGCACAATCCATCAACAAGGGGCATACTTTTCAAGCCGATCAAGTAAGTCCACTGCCTTTTTCTTTCTGCAACATGCAATTATCTTTGGCTGTTTTCATTTGTGTCTGAATATCATCAATATTGCTGTGGACCTAAATCTCTTACTGGTTTGAATGCTAACAAATGCATCGATACGATTGTAATAATCAGGACAAATATTGTGGAAGCCCATACACAAGTGGAGTCCTTGCTCAAAGCTGAGTACTCAGCTGAAGAACAAGCCAATATCAATATAATCACTATCGAGGATCTGCAAACCCAACTCGACAAATTGCTATAAAAAGGTCTATAAAACCATGGCCTAAACAATGTTTTTGGTTATAATTTTTATATAAAGATTTAATTCTTTTGACTACTTTTAGCTACTTTACAGAAAGTTCACTTTAGAAATACTAATATATGAATATCCAAGAATTCATACATCTTGGTG